GGTTGTAGTGAGGACATTTTATGTTACTTGGTTGTAGTGAGGACATTTTATGTTACTTGGTTGTAGTGAGGACATTTTATGTAACTTGGTTGTAGTGAGGACATTTTATGTAACTTGGTTGTAGTGAGGACATTGTATATGTCTTGGTTGTAGTGAGGACATTGTATATGACTTGGTTGTAGTGAGGACATTTTATGTAACTTGGTTGTAGTGAGGACATTGTATATGTCTTGGTTGTAGTGAGGACATTTTATGTATCTTGGTTGTAGTGAGGACATTTTATGTAACTTGGTTGTAGTGAGGACATTTTATGTTACTTGGTTGTAGTGAGGACATTTTATGTATCTTGGTTGTAGTGAGGACATTTTATGAATCTTGGTTGTAGTGAGGATATTTTATGTATCTTGGTTGTAGTGAGGACATTTTATGTATCTTGGCTGTAGTGAGGTCATTTTATAAATCTTGGTTGTAGTGAGGACATTTTATATGTCTTGGTTGTAGTGAGGACATTTTATATATCTTGGTTGTAGTGAGGACATTTTATAAATCTTGGTTGTAGTGAGGACATTTTATGTATCTTGGTTGTAGTGAGGACTTTTTATGTATCTTGGCTGCAGTGGGGACATTTTATATGTCTTGGTTGTAGTGAGGATATTTTATATATCTTGGCTGTAGTGAGGACATTTTTACATATATTTTCGTTGTAGTGAAGACATTTTATGTATCTTCGTTGTAGTGAGGACATTTTATGAATCTTGGCTGTAGTGAGGACATTTTATGTATCTTGGTTGTAGTGAGGACATTTTATGTAACTTGGTTGTAGTGAGGACATTTTATGTAACTTGGCTGTAGTGAGGACATTTTTATATATATTTTCGTTGTAGTGAGGACATTTTATGTAACTTGGCTGTAGTGAGGACATTTTATGAATTTTGGATGTAGTGAGGACGTTTTTATATATATTTTCGTTGTAGTGAGGACATTTTATGTAACTTGGCTGTAGTGAGGACATTTTATGTAACTTGGCTGTAGTGAGGACATTTTTATATATATTTTCGTTGTAGTGAGGACATTTTATGTAACTTGGCTGTAGTGAGGACATTTTATGTAACTTGGCTGTAGTGAGGACATTTTTATATATATTTTCGTTGTAGTGAGGACATTTTATGTAACTTGGCTGTAGTGAAGACATTTTATGAATTTTGGCTGTAGTGAGGACATTTTATATATCTTGGTTGTAGTGAGGACATTTTATGTATCTTGGTTGTAGTGAGGACATTTTATGTATCTTGGTTGTAGTGAGGACATTTTATGTATCTTGGTTGTAGTGAGGACATTTGTTGCCTGCCTCTAACTGTCTTGCCTTCAACCTTTTCCTTTAGTATTGTTTTTAAAAGTGTTATATGTCTTAAGATTCTGTTTCTAGGGTTCAGCGTTTTTTCGTAGCTGTTGTGCTGCCTACTACGATGACTGAACCTTACGTTATTTCGGAGTCATCTTTTTAAAACTACAGTCTTTTTCTTGAACCCTCTTTCTCGAACCTAAAGCTCTGCAGGGTAGGATAATGTATCCTTTGATATGACCAGACTATTTTAATCATCCAACTATTTCGTTGACCACTGAAAATCTTTTAATGTATATTGGCGGAAATTCCCACTCATTTGCAACGACTTGCACTAACGTGTATCTTTCGCTTTGAAACTTCTAAAATTATTTATTTTTAAATATTCTTTTAAGCAATTGTATATTTTCTGAAATGCTGACGTTTCATGAATTTTGAAGTAGTTTTTTTTTTTTCTTTTTTATTCCCCTTTCATTTCAATATTACTTTAACAACAAAATACACACAAATCAAATTACAGCCTCAAAAATTAGTCCATGCGCATAAATAAATCTCCATAGGGCGGCAAGTTTTGCAAAGAAGTCCCCGTCCCACCTAGCTTTCAGAAAAGACACGCAAGCAAGATCGTTGTCAGGCATGGTCGCTCTTTTATGAATACCTCCAGCAAGTCGGTAGGGTGTGTATAGAAATTATGGATCTCTCCCACAGGTATGCAAGGGTGGAGCGAAGAAATGAGACGTCGTTCCCACGCAGCGCGGGCTTGGACACGCTGTGTGGGTTGTTGTGTTGGTATCGGCGTTTCAGGATGCTTTCAAGTCTATTGAAATTGGGACACACAAAAATTGTCGTTTACAAATCTGTCTACCGTATCTTACCATAAAAATAACACAACGGGTTCTTCTTTCTCAAATTTTAATCACGCGTTCTATTTTTAAATAACTTTGTTGACAAAAAAATTTTTTTTTTCAAAGAAGTTATGGAATAGTAGGGTTTCCTAATGTTCAACATACGTTTCAAAATTTAATACCAACAAGATGACCTGATTTTAGCAGCAATCCCTATTTAGCATACCTCCCATCTGTTCTATTATTATTATTATTATTCCTTCACCTATATTTTAATTTATTGTTCCGTTATTCCCTCGGGGTTTTTTTTTCGACCTTGTGTTGTTTCATTAACTTTCCTTCCTGTTTTTTCGCAACTCCGGCCCGTTTCTTTCCCCATGTGTCTTTCTTTTTAGCTGTTGACATATTTCAGAGTATCGGATCGGGCTGCATGATTAGGCAGAGATATTCATGCCATCACCCTGTTCTGTTGGGGGGGGGGGGGGGGGGGGGATGCTGCGGGGTCTCGTGGTATGGTGTCCGCCTCGAGTGGTAGAGGTCCCGGGTTCAAGCTCCAGTGAAGGCTAGGATTTTTTAATGTTCACATGGACAAGTAATTACCCCTGGTCTCTGGCAGTTGGAAATCGAAAAAAGAAAGAGTTAAAAATCTACTGAAAATATTTCAGGATCCTCTACGGAGCCCGTGCACTGCGCTGAGCTACTTCGGACTCAGACTTTAGTTAGAAGAAGAAGGGAGTATTTATGGGTTACTAGCCGTGTTCTGTAGGCATGCGTTACACACAGCTTGCAGTCTAGCCATCCTCGATTCTTTGCTATTTCATCCACTTCTTTGATATGATATATGTAATCCAGTCCAGCGCCCGTGATGTCTAACAACAATCGTCTTCGGATTTTCCCAGTTCATGTGTTTTCCATTTCACTGCCTGTATGGGAATATCCTGACTTCCCTCTCACCTTATGTGCCTAACATCACCACCTTCTTTTTTTTTTCGATAACTGTTGATACACGCGGCTATCCATAAAGCTTTTTTTTCGATAACTGTTGATACACGCGGCTATCCATAAAGCTTTTTTTTTTCGATAACTGTTGATACACGCGGCTATCCATAAAGCTTTTTTTCGATAACTGTTGATACACGCGGCTATCCATGAAGCTTTTTTTTCGATAACTGTTGATACACGCGGCTATCCATAAAGCTTTTTTTTTTTTCGATAACTGTTGATACACGCGGCTATCCATAAAGCTTTTTTTTCCCTCGCCTTTCTCGAACTAATTTTTAATCTTCAGCATATTTGATTGTATGTCTGAAAATTACAGTCAGTACATGTGTGGGGCAAACTAAGGAAGTCTAAAGCCCAAAGAGTAGGCATTAGATGAGTTAAGCTGAGTCAAGAATTGACACCACAGCACTCGGGGCATTCCCATGCGTGCTCAGTCCTCATCTTCAGCAGCTAGCGCTAAGTTCCAATATTGATGATACAGGTCACAATCTGGTTATATGTCCGTCTTGCATTTCCTATTAGCGTAGTGAGCAGGTCAGAAACTCTGGGTACACCCAGATGCCTCATTCTCTCCAGGCCATAATAATCTTGTTTCTCTACTGACTTTGTTGCTTGTTCCCAAAGGGCCTTGGTCACATCTGCCTTGTCATGTATCAATTCACCACCCATTGGTGCGGATCCAGCCATCAGATGAGGTCATCTGTATCCGCTGGTAACACCATGAGCACTGACTGGACAGGCCTTATGCGCAGAAACTCAGTCGCATCTGACCGTCAACAGCAGCTAGTGACCCAAAGACACGCAGTGTTAGGTGATGATGACGACGATGATGATGATGACGACACAATGAGCAGAGAACTAATGTACGCACCCTCCCCTTCTTTCAATCAAAAGAATTCATTGGTTCCTTTCTCCATTTCCCTTCTCCCTAACCAGCGGTTCTCACACAGATAAGACCTTCATATACTCATTAGTTTTGATCTGTCACGGACCCCTATACTTGTTATTATTCATACAGAAGTTGTTATGATTAAAGTCGTAGAAACGTAAACAGGCAACATTTTCTCGACCTGGGAGTCAAGGTCATGAAAAAAAATGTCTGGTTCCGTCAGGACGCGAACCCACGACCTTCTGATCTGCAGGCGGGCGCCTGGCCGCCAACACCACGGCAACTCTCTCTATAAGATAAAGAATTTCAAAAACAAAACGAAAAATCCATTCATAGATGAGGGTTCGTTTGAAAAATGTGTTCTGTTGACCCTTGGAATTACGTAGCTCACCAAACATTGCTATCGACTTTCAACTCCTGGAATGCAATAACTGAAGCAATATCTCTAAACTTAGCACTGGCATAGACGGTACATCAAAGCAAGAATCCTAGTCTATTCTCCCTTTCAACCAGTTTGGTCTTGGACCAGTAAACCACGAAAAGATTGTATCAGTTCATCTATGGGTCTGCATCGCCCTGGCAGATCACGCTACCAAATGGAAGCTAATCAACACTGCTGTTACGACGACACACCTTTTCATGGCCAAACTAGTCTCTGGGCAGGATCAAATAAAGAATATGTGTAGGGCCCCAAAACCCGTTTGACGGGTTTCAATACTGTTTTATTCAATTCCTCTGAGTTGCTTTATCTCGCATGTCCTCGACTCCTCCCACATTTTAGTGCAACAATAAATTCTTCATATTTTATTGTTGGATTTCCTAACTCTTTATGTCCCAGGATAAATTCATGTTGCATTGCTACTCCTTCTCTATTCCTCCTTCTCTATGCCCTCTTCTGCATTTAAAAGTTTAGTATGGGCATATGATGCGAGGAGAGTGTGACATGTAGAAACCGGCATTTGCGGCGGCTTCATATCTTTCGTCTACTCATCATTTGTGAGGGTGACATCTAGCTGCGACCCCGCTGCAGCCTACGGCCGGTGTTCGAAACCAGGCGGTTCCCTGGGCTCACTCAGCCTCTAGGTAATGAGTTCCAGAGTTGAACTCAAACTCACTGGGGTCAACGGTCAACAATCTGACAGCCCCAGTACTAATTAAGTGCGCGTAAATCATAATAAATTTGTTTAAATGTAAATTGAGGAACGAAAGAACACATTTTTTGGGGGGAAGGGTTACGTTACTGTATCTACAGAGTTGCCTGCGGACGGCGACACAGACCAACAGTTTCTTATCAGCTGTTCGTACTCGGCCTTTTGGCTAAGACTAAAGTGTAGCTTTGCTGCACTGGTCTGGCCAAAAGAGCCCGGGATCGGTCATATCCACAATCACGGGAGAAACCCAATCGGCAATGCCATCTTTAAAAAAATCTGCCGGGTGGTTTCCCCGTTCAGCCTGGATTACCGACGTAATATCCTTCGGGTAGTCGGGCGGCCAGGCTGGACATGTGGGGAGACCGACCCGGAAAAAAAAAAATATGGTTTATAACCGTGTGCAACGACGTTGGTTCACATGTCCCGACTTTACCTTTACATCTAGCCTTGCTTTCATTGTATCCAAGAACTGGACATGTGGGGAGACCGACCCGGAAAAAAAAAAATATGGTTTATAACCGTGTGCAACGACGTTGGTTCACATGTCCCGACTTTACCTTTACATCTAGCCTTGCTTTCATTGTATCCAAGAACAGGGACTGAATCGTATGGTGCACTGCTCTATGACAGTCCTGGCACATGTGCGATACATTTAAGCTTCCCTGTAGTATTAGCGGGTATTCTTCTTCTGTAGGGCTTTGTAAAATTAATTGTTCCGTCATGTTTCTTAAATTTAGTTTTCGGTGTCAGCTGAAATGCAGTCACCAGTCATCCTACTTTTGGTGACCCTGAGGTTAACGGGTTATTTAAAAATACGAATGCTTATTAGAGAAGGGGATTCAGGAGACTACAGGAAGCTGGCAGCACTCAGAAAACTACAAGAACTTCGCCTAATTCAAACGATATGTCATCAGACATGAATACTATATATGACACCATAGAAAAACAGTCAACCAACACAGAACTGGTGTTATCATTCGCTACACGGCGAGGGATATACCAAAGATAGATTTACAGACTGGATTTACAAACCAACCAACCAACAAGCTAGCTTGCTAACCAACCAACCAACTACTAACAACCAAGAACATCCTCACAAGCGCGTTAGAAAAGAACAACGCATGGTGTGTCACTTGGTACAGGAAGAGTTAAACGTGATTTATTGTCTGGGGAGAGATCTTAAATTGGTACATTCCGGTGACTGGTTAGATTCAGAGCCGGAATTTTGCATGGTTGACTGGATTTAGATAAAAAGGAATAGTAATATATTTACGGCCAAGAGGAGCTTGTTTGGGCGGGTAAATATGGGAGGCTCCAGTGTTGCTTATTGTAGCGTGCAGATCAGTAGTTCGTATTTGGTGGTCAGCAGACGCCCATTTATAAGTTGCCCGTAGTTTATAATGAAACGCCCCCCCCCCCCCCCAACGTGTGGGTTCCGGGGCCCTATTGTGGGGAAAACAAGAATAGACCCACTGCTTCCCCAAAAGCATGTCGTAAGAGTCGACTAATTGGGGAGCTTCCTTTGAAGTCATAGAGTGCATCTGCCGGAGAGGCAAGGAACCAACAGTCTGTATTCAAGAGAATGAGATCTGTAAAACTGATGCACACGCAACACTCAGGTTCTGGAGCAGGGCTGCAGTTCAGTAGTGGACGAGCAACCAGAACTTTCCGCCAGAGTGTACAGCTGGTGAACGCGAAGAAGAAGAAGAAGAATGAAACGCCCTCAACTTAAGAACCCAACAGTTTTCATGATTCTATTATTTCTAAATTATTCTGTTTAAAAAGTTATCCGATGGCGCGTTTTTATTAGTTGACAGAAACCTAGGATACGGCCTAACAAACTATTATGACCCAGATGAAACAGCTGTCAATTGATTAGTTGAACGCTAAGCTTTTATTGTGTGGAATTTCAACAATTTCACTTCCTTCGAAGTGGGAGTTAATATCCCTGAGAGGCAAGGAACCAGCAGTCTGCATACAAACGAGTCAGATCTGTAAAACGGATGCACATGCAACACTCAAGTTCTGGAACAGGACTGCAGTCCAAAAGTGTATGAACAACCAGAACTACAGCGGATGAACGCGAAGAAGAACAATTTCACTCATTAAGTTATAAACATATGGAGTGTCAAAACTGTCACAATTATTTTCCTTTCAGTAGCTGTACGTTTTTTTTTTTTGGGGGGGGGGGGGGGGGGGGGGGGAGCTTTTCCATGGTTTCAGGCTTTTGGGCATATAGGGCAAGACTTGTATTTAATATTGACCAAAGGGTACTCAGTGTGCGATGTTGTCAGCATTACGTCGACCGCCTTTATTCCCATGATTTTTTTTTTACCTGGTACCAGTTTCAGACTGGGTCGACATGGGAACCAAGGTTATTTTACGGGGTCAATCTGGTATCAGGGCTGCCGAAGTATTTTGGGGAATAGTACCAAGTCCTTTCTGTAAAGGTACCAAAACACTAAACGGTACACATTGTTTAAAATTTTATCAACACCCCCCCCTCCCCCCACCCCCACCCCATTAAAACGTCTTTAAAAAAACACATTACTTTATATTTGATCGTAAATAAAATGCCTTGTAATTACATAATTGCTGTAAAATTTTGTTGTTACCGCTCAGTTTATTAAAAAGCCGCTTTGGCGACCTCTGGTTAGTGCTGTGAATGTCCTGGAGCAAAATTGTTGATCTCATCTACGCGTTTATAATTAAAGTCTTCAAAGAAGAGAGATTTAAAAAGATCCTCATATTGTTAAGGAGAGAGAAAAACTAAAACATACCAAAACATGGGGTGTAGTATTAAAAATACAGTTATGCTCGGCACGGGTCAAATAAGACCAGATTTGCACGAAAGTACCAACTTCGACAGCCCTGCCTGGGAACCAAGGTAATTTTAACAAAAATACAAAAAATGCGGTTCCCTCAAGATCTGAACCTACGACCGTCGGATTCCAATTTTCTTCAAAGTAGTATTAATAAATTCTTCAGCGTGACAATTTAAGGCTATGGAATCCGTCCGTGACAGTCCTGCAAAATAAAAGGACCCCCTCAAGTCTTGAGAACAGCTGGTGGTGATAATTGTGCTATCTCAGTAATATAAAGGGGGGGGGGGGGTGAAAAAAAGGAGGTTGAGTGGGGTGGTTTGAGTGTGGGTAAAAGACAGGTTCGGGGTGAGATAGTAGGAGGAATAACTGGGATGTGTATGTTGGCAGTGATAACAGGAGAAGGTGGTGTGGTATTTGTAGTAAAAAGAATCAAGAAAAGATATAAAACTGAACGAAAAGTATATTAGCACGCTTCACAATATAAAAAATACAAGCAAAACGTGAACGTTGCGGCTATGGAGCCTTCATCAGCACATACAAATCAAACAATACTACACAGAGACACAAAATCAACCGTAATAATAGACAATATGGGCAAGTGGGATAGGTACAAACAGTTGCATTAGTAAAAGGAATCGAGTGGCGGAGTGTTAGTAACAAAGAACAAAGAGAACAATGGTAGCAGGAGAAGTTGATGTGGTTTCTGTAGTGAAAGGAATCGAGTGGCGGAGTGTTGGTAATAAAGAACAGAGAGAACAATGGTAGCAGGAGAAGTTGGTGTGGTGTCTGTAACAAAAGGAATCGAGTGGCGGAGTGTTGGTAATAAAGAAAGTGATAAAGATTGGTAACAGTAGACGCTGGTGTGCTGTTTTTTGTAAAAGAAATTGTTGTGTGGCATTAGTTAAAGAATGGGGTGTACGTAAGTGCGTGCGTGTGCAGACAAGGAGGAGGAGAAGGGGGGAGGGGTCAGTGGCAGTATGAGATGCAAGTGTAGTGTTTTGAGTTGAAGGACTCGAGTGTATTAAAGAACGGGGGACAATGGTAGCAGAAGTGTATGTGGTGAACAGAGAATACATATGTACCAAGAAAATATGAGATTTGATATAACCTTACCAAAGTAAACATTCATAGCTCATGGATTATGATCGCGGTTTTGTAACTCCGGATTCCATGTTTGATCCAGCTACATGCAGTTTGGCAGCACACTGCTTTGCGTTACATTAGAGTAGACCATTTAAAAGGAAATGGCAAACTCCTGAAAGTAAAATGTGTCTTTAAAAGTCACAGACAGCAACTAAACTGCAGGGTTGATGGTGCAGTATGCAGAACATGGCGTCATAATGGGAGGTTTGTTGAAGTCACGATGATGATGGAATCGCCAAGTGGTGGCCAAGCTGATGGTAGAAGACAGGGAGAAACATACTTTCAGATTATGGGACTGTCAACTGAGAAGCCACTAGTCAAGATTAATGGGCATTTGTTCACAGGACAGTTCACAGACACCCTTGGTTCACATTTGTTTTTGGAAGTGGAGGACTGGTAGCCTGGTAGCCTTAGTTTCAGCTTCATAGCAAACGGGTCGCCCCATCTTTGCTCCGCTCCTGTGCCAACGAAAAACACACAGAATGTTTATCACAGTATTAGAATTGCACTTCATCATTGATGGAAACAGAAGTCGCCAACAGATCAGCAGTTGCCCACGCGATCAATTTTAATCACATACGGGCACCACAACACTGCACGACAGGCATTGCGCTATTTTCTTAATCTACAATTCACACACGCACGTTGGTCACAGTCGAAAAAACATTCCAAATGCAATCCACAGCTCACAGTGTCACGCCATGCATTCATGGAAGTGGAGGAAAAGCCAGGTGCTAAAGCGACCAAGGACTGACTCTTCACAAAGAAACAGCAAGCAGATCAAGTCTGTGACTGTCACTAACACATATCTCAAACTGGAGCCTGTTTACTTGGATTCGAAAAGAGATGCTGAGTAACATCAACAGTGATCGGTAACAATGGTGAGTCCAACCGCAACAGTATTGTATCTCATTAATGTAGGCTTCTGTAGTGCCTGGAATATACACATCTCATTTTCATGAGGCAGGCCTTTCACACGGCAGTGTCCTCTTCCTCAGACAGTTACCAGGCGTGTTCATCTAGGGTGATAATGAAAATACACCTTTGTAACAGGGCACTTCTTACACTTCTAGTGTCAGTAAACCGTAACGTTCTAGAGCTGCAAGATTTGTGCACATGTTATTGCAGTTATTAAATGATTTTACTCATTAAAAAAAAAAAAAAAAAAAAAAAAACTGCAGGGTTGATTTACACAGTTTAGTAAAGGGTATTCAACTTTTTTTTTAAAAGAAGGAAATTAACCATAGCCACAGTTATAATCTCAGTAAGTAAACCAACTCAATCTTTGTTCGTTAGAAGGGGAAAAAGCCACACATACAGAATTAAACGGGCTATAGGCCTGTATGTAAATAGTATCTCATCTTTTCAGTCTTATATTCAATAACAGCAAACACCCGCCTATCTTACACGACTAGTGCGTTTTAACAACTTGTGGAATCGGTTTCAATGGCTGAACAACTCTACCTTTCTCGCTCCATCGCTTCTCTAAACATTTTATGACACACGAGTTAGGCCTATGACACCAAATCCTGCCTGTTGATTCAAGCACATGGAACCGGTCGTGATTCAAGCCTTTGGCAAAAAGGCAGTGTCTGGTATACCGTGCTGGAATCAGGCATTCGTGCGTGACGGTTGAAGTGTTTTGTTAGGTCTGAAGTCAGTAGAAGCAGGTAAATGTTTATGTGGTTTTACATATCTTTGTGGTCAGTATTACGCCGGCAGTCTTTACTTCCCCAGGAGAACCACCCTGGTACTCATTTTAGGCTGGGTCGACCTGCGACGCGCCATACCATGATACAAATCCACGAAGCCAACAGTGGGTTTCGATGACACGCGTATAATACTACAATATCTAGTTTGGGAATGGAGGTGGGGGCAGTCACCTCAGGTTTCCGCTGCTTTAAGCTGTACACACAAGTCCTGGCTGGAAGCGACTCACAAAGCATGTTAAGAAAGGTTTAGACAGACGTACTCCGTGCAGATGGCAAGCATAGCTTCAGATGTCCCTGCTAGTTATCTTTCTTTGGATATTTTCTTCACTGTATGCTGTATATTAGAATTTTTGAGAGCATGCATCTTTCCTGTAGCAACACACGGATGTGAGTCGTGGACTATATCTTAGTAAGAAAGAGAATAAGGGCCTTTAAGCTGAAATGCTATAGAAAGATTCTCAGAATATCTTGGACAAAGAAGAGGAGAAATAATGACATCTTGAAAGATCTGAACATAAAGGAAGATTGGCCAATAAACAGCATCCTGTCTCGGAAGCTGAAGTATTTTAATCACGACGGATTAGAAAAAAAGAAGGCATTGTACCAGGAAGGAAGAGCAGGGGCCGACCGACACGAAGATGGGCACAAAATATAAGTGACTCCTTAAGTATGAAAGAACATGAGGCGGGGGAGCTGGCAGACTGTGATAAGAAGAGCGACGTTTTGCAAAGGACCTACTACATGATGATGATGGTTTTACATAGTGTGGTCTCTCCCTAGCTCCTACAGTTGGTAGGATATATAACAATTACCTTCCCCGTGTGGGTTCCGGGGTTCCATTGTGGGGAAAGCAAGAAAACCACTGCCTCCCTAACAAGCATGTCGTAGGAGTCGACTTATTGGGGGCTTTATTCAAAGTCGGATTGCATCTACGAGAGGCAAGGAACCAACAACCTGCATACAAATAAGCAAGATCTGTAAAAAGGATGCACACGCAGAACTCATGTCCTAGAACAAAGCCGAAGTCCAGAAATGGGCAAACAACCATGTCTTTATGCCGGGGTTTACAGGTAGTGGGGTGTTTACAGGCAGTGAGGTGTTTACAGGCAGTGAGGTGTTTACAGGCAGTGAGGTGTTTACAGGTAGTGAGGGGTTTACAGGCAGTGAGGGGTTTACAGGTAGTGAGGGGTTTACAGATAGTGAGGTGTTTACAGGTAGTGAGGTGTTTACAGGTAGTGAGGTGTTTACGGGCAGTGAGGGGTTTACAGGCAGTGAGGGGTTTACGGGCAGTGAGGGGTTTACGGGCAGTGAGGGGTTTACGGGCAGTGAGGGGTTTACGGGCAGTGAGGGGTTTACAGGTAGTGAGGTGTTTACGGGTAGTGAGGGGTTTACAGGCAGTGAGGGGTTTACAGGCCGTGAAGGGTTTACAGGCCGTGAAGGGTTTACAGGCCGTGAAGGGTTTACAGGCAGTGAGGGGTTTACAGGCAGTGAGGGGTTTACAGGCAGTGAGGGGTTTACGGGCAGTGAGGGGTTTACAGGCAGTGAGGGGTTTACGGGCAGTGAGGGGTTTACGGGCAGTGAGGGGTTTACAGGCAGTGAGGGGTTTCAAACATAACAGTAAACATTTACACATGTACTGACCAGCACTCATAGGGGAAGTAGAGAGACATGTAGATACACTAAAGGACATCAAAAACGAAAGCTACAGTTACCATAGCGGAAATAAAACATGACCTCCTAAGGACGACAGCACCTCGCTGCATGAACAACTTCACCTTGAGCCATGATCAACTGGACACTTCTGTGTATTACTTCTTCTTGTTCTGCTTTTCAGTTTGAGACCAGGTCACAGTGGCTTGTACAGGTAAAGGTAAACACCCTTTTACCCATGCCTATTGGTGTGAACTGAGCATACACTCCTAGACCTATGTTTTGTGCACGACACAAGGCTATTAGCAAGCATCAGTAGGGAATATTATCATCATCATGTAGCAGGTCCTTTTCAGAACGTCGCTCTCATCACAGTCTGCATGTAAGAAACTCGGTCTCTTGCCAGTTCTCCCCCTCATGAACTTTCACATTCAAGGATCACCTATATCCTGTGCCCATCTTCGTGTCGGTCGGCCTCTGCCCCTCCTTCCTGGTACCATGCCTTCTGCTATAATTTTTTCCAATCCGTCGTGGCGCTTGATATGACCAAAATATTTCAGCTTTCGGTAAGGGAATGTAAACAATGAAAACTGGAATATTTTGCGACCGTTTGGATGCAAATCCAGTTATAGCAAATCAAAGAAACACTGTTTAACCGCTAATAAAGTGTTCTGCTGGGGGCACTAGACGGTTACCTAGTAACCAGCTATTCTATGTGACTTTGGGAGACTGATGGTCTTGAGGCGTGGCTGGAGGTCCCGGGTTCAAGCTTCCGTGAAGGCTGGGATTTTTTACGTAGACTTCTAATAATTTCCTCTGGTCTCTGGGTAGTGAGATCGGACGTCCATATGTAATGCTGCCCACGTTAAAAATCTATTAGCAGTTGCAAATCGAAAAGAGTAGCTTAAAAGCAAAATTTGGAGTTGAAAATCTATCCAACGTATTTTAGGATCCTCGCCGGTGCTACGGAGTTGAGATTCTTAGGACTCAGGCTTGAGTCAGAAGTAGAAGGGAGCTCTTATCTTTGTGCCATGATGGGACCCGTCAGTCTAAACCTAAACCATCTATGTTCTACCCCTCCAGGACCTCACAACTCGGGATAAACACTAGGTGACATAAATTGTCACCATTCGAATGAAGTCCCGCGGGTACAAGTCCTGACCGCTGGGGCGGGAGCTTTAAAATAGTAACAACCCAAAAAAAAAAATAACGTCCTACTTTGTTTTAGTAGTAGTTGTTGTAAATGTTAACCCACAAGGACATCACACAAGCGACAAACACCCGATGCCAAGGTGCCACCACGTTAATGAGGATCACCAGTGGAGAGGTCCCGGAAACTGCGTTCAGCCATGAGACCATATTTATGGCGGGACTATATTGCGGCCCCTGGCAAGAGCCAGGGTGGGGCTTCAAAATAATGAAAAAAAAAAATGCATCCCACAAGGGGATGACAAGGCATATAGCAATGGCATGCGAAGGAAAATAGACGATTTAGCAAACATAGTATCAAAAGTTGGATGTCGATACTGAATGGTAAAGTGACCTAGTGACCGATGTGAAACTGCAGTCCTAATATATATAACATCATTATGAAACCTCGACTGCATCTTTTGCGGTGTCTTTCTTTTCCTCTAATAGCTAATCCACTTAAACAGCCACAATCAAACTAAGTAGATTCGAATAAAAAACCATTGTGGCAGCGCAAATTCTTTATCGACGTCATGAACATTTTTTTTTTTTTTGCTCGAAAGGGAAATAACCACTGTGTCCAAAATTAAAATTTTTAAAAGGAACTTAACGCTCTTACTCGTGTAGCGTTGTCAAAAGAGCTCGAGTAAACGGTCAGGTCCTTACTGGCCTAGGACCGCATGTGACACCTGGCTTGTAAAGACGTTACACTATACCCTAATTATAACTTCTTTAGAGCTTCAAGGGGGTATCTGGGAATTGCCTGGTTGGTCTGCCGCCCAGATTAAGATCTTAAAGTGGTATTGCGTAGACTTCTGACATTTTGGAAGATCTGAACATCAAGGAAGATTGGCATCTTGTCTCAAAAGATAAAAAATATTTTGGTCAAATCAGGCGCCATGGCGGACTAGACAAAAATAATAGCAGAAGGCATGGTACCAGGAAGAAGGAACATCCCGAACTTCCGGTCAGAGTTTACAGCTGGTGAACGCAAAGAAGAAAAAGAAGAGCAGGCGAGATTTTTGGGTTTTGCTTTGTTGATCTGCCAGCCAGACTGAAAATTTGTAAATCTTGAGGTGCCATAAGTTTGGGTAACAGCTCAGAGGGAGAACAGACTGAAGAAGGCAAACTTGGAAAAGATGAATGTAGTTTGAGGCCAATATTTGAGGAGGAGTTGTGAGAATATAATAAGGCCGGCTGTCCAGTTTGAGTCTCTGAGTGTCCAGTTTGAGTCTGAGTGTCCAATTTGAGTCTGAGTGTCCAGTTTTGAGTCTGAGTGTCCAGTTTGAGATCGACTGCTAAG